TACTAATTGCCACATTAATTAATAATCTTACATTTTAACGTTTACTTTCCGAGAAATACAATATAAATATAATATATCATTTTTTTTAAATTTCGATTGAATCGAAAGCAAAACGAATCTTTCGACACGATCAATCCCTCAGTGCGTCCATCTTTTGAATAAATTTTCACTATTCGACATGTGTATTCTCCCTTTTCTTAAAAATTCACGCGCAGTCTCCCAGATTCCAGATTCTCTGAATTCCGACTTTATTCTATTTGCGCCAAAATATCAAAGTGTGAAGTCTTTGAAACGTCATCGATTCTCTCACAAATTACTACAATAATTTTTTCAGAAACGCAGTTCTCTAGAGTCTTGAATTTCTCCTTGAATTTCAGTGCTCGCAGGCTCGCGAAATCGCGAATTTGACAAAAAACGCTATAAGCCTAAAATTCTCGTTTCAAAATGATTCCGCGGTTCCCAAGCAGAACAAGTCACGATAACGTCAGAATGACGTTAAAATGAATTGTAAATGATTAAAAAATGACTTTTAATGATCATTTTGGAATCATTTTGACATCATTTTGATGTTATATTTTGGAATCATTTTAACATCATTTTGATGTTGTGATGACTTGTTGCTTCCATTTGGGTTCACCGTCTCTCGACATCTCTTGCGTTACGAAGAAATGCAAGCGCAACGAAAACGTCGAACATCATTGTGTTCTATCACCCGTCTCATTCGCGTTTACCGTCGCATTTTAGTATCGACGCGATTCGTCAGGTTCGCGTCATGCAAAATCGAATCGCGCGCGATCGACTATAAAGGTAAAAAAATATCACCGAGTCTTACGCTATTTCCTTCCCCCGTATGTTCGGCGGCGCTCAAAAATGCCAGGAAATGCGAGAGATTATACGGATATACATCTTTCTCCCCTTTTCTTTTAAATTAACTTTTAACCCTATTCTATAATTCTCAATGATTATAACGATATCATTACAGTCGTTAAGAGTTACAGAATAGCGTTATTTTTTTGTTTCCTCCGCATTGCCTCCTTCATTAAAGATTTACAGCTAACAAACGATCATTATATGCTTATAATACCTTAATTATTATTAGGAGATTCTTCTTGAAATTTAATTTAACACATCTATGGGAGGAAGAATGCTTTTAAATTCATTATATAAAACAACTCGACATTGCTTACAATTAGTCGCACTTTGGGAAACAGAAATCGTGTTTACAATTTATCGGTGTAATCGCTCGCGTAATGGTCTCTAAATCGATCAGCGCGAATCCTCGTATCAAAAGTACCCGAATAATAGATCGAAATCATTGATTAATTGTATTCGTTAATTACACTGCCGATACGTAACTATCATCGCGTCCACCCGATGTACCTAGGTTCGTTCGTGATCAACATTTCTGTCGTCGAGTTCCTTCCTCGCCGATCTACACATACGGGATCCAGCCGAGAATCGCGCGATCCCTTCTCGCTCAGATCGTCGCGGCTTGTGTTCTTAATTTTTAAAAAAAGTTCTTAATTTTCGGAAAAAAATTAACGGAAAAAATCTAATTTTTTTCCCGTATTTTTTTCGGAAAAATTTGATAAAAATTGTATCACAGATACACAACTTTGAAAATGAACATGATCGAGTAAATATTCTCCATCCAATAAAGTGATTAGACACGATGAGTAGAACAAGAAAAGTAGAATTAATCATAAGGAATTAGGGAAACATCAGAGTAGGACGAAAAATCGTATTGTCTGCCTCTGACTTTATTTCTAATTCTTTATGTTCAATTTTTTATCCTGTTCTTTGTGTTTGAATTCTAGCATGACTCGCATCACTTAATTGGCTTCTTCTTTATTACCATCTAACGTTTAACAAAAAGAATTCATAAACTCTAACAGACATCTCATAAATGATGACAATGGATTTTATTATTGAATTACTTACTTTGTTGGAACACTTAAGAGTGAAATAAATCTTAAAAGCCTTAAAACCATTGACGTAAAAGATAATAACGCTGACGAAATTTAAAAAAATTTCTAAAAAATATGGCATTAAAACATTAAAAAGTACCGTTTTTCCCAAAGTTTCCAAGACTTTTTTGGGGGCTAAGAACACTAGTCGCGAATGAAAAAGAGGCGAGTGATTTTCGACGGGCTTCTCACTCCCGTAGATGCATCCCCGCGAGTACGTACTATCCGCGACACTGCACCGTGTATATATGTGTATGCTGATCGCGCGAGAGTGCGTGTTTAGTGTGCGTGGGTATTTTGTACAAGGTACAAACGCACGCGTGCCGACGCGTACATAGGAATGTCGCTGTCGCACTTGTTCGAGCAGCGATTATGTTTCTTGCTTCTTCGAGTGGCGAGTGAACAATTACGCGAAAGACGAGAGTACATCCTCTTGTTTCCGCAAGTGGAAATTAGCCAAGAATCAGTTTGGATCGACTTTAACATTCACATGAACACGTATGACCCATGGAAACGGAAAGAAGAGGCTACCCAGTTCTCTAAATTCTTTGAAGTGAACTCCGAAGGAGTGAAAATTCTGCCAATCTTTTTCAAGAGTGGCAGAACTTTAAGAGTAAAATCTCTTCTTTTTGAAGAAAAGGAACACTTATGTAAAAGAATACATCTTCTTTCTACGTGTAAAATTGAGAGATGCGCGAGGTATTTATATAATTAGATGATCGCAAGGATGGAAATGAAGATCTCGCAGTCTTGAGGTCACTATAGGCATGTCGGCGCGCGTACGGTTGACTTTGATTACTTTACGAGCCTTCGATCGCTAAAGTGTATCGCTCGACACAGTGCTTTTATTTTATTTATTTTATTTAATTTTTTTTTGCTTTATTAACTATATATTTTTTTGGTATCTCATTTCTTAATAGCATCGAGAGTGCGCTACGACATTCCTCCCTTTCGCTCCGCCTCGTCTCTCTATCTCTCTTTCTCTCACGTCGTATAATCTTGGTATAATCTTTTAAAGCTTCTTTTGGCACGTATTATTAGAATGTATTATTTTAGTTTTACGGAAGAATTCGATTTAGCGTTAAATCTCCCGCTCTCCTCTCTCTCTCTCCCTCTCTTTCTCTTTTTTTCCTGATCGCTTTTAATTGTCTTCCCGTCTTCCGCTATAAACCGTTCCTCAGTCCCCATCGTCGAATTCTTTTCTTCCACCTCCTCTTTTATTTCCCCCCTCCCCCAGCATTATTATATTTAAACACATTCATTTACAGTTTTACACTTCGCTACGTCGTAAAATTTACATCGAGTGTTTGCAGTCGCAATTCTGCGCGTACAGAAGATTATCCTTTCGATATATATCTTTTTTTTTACTTAAATAAGTTGTTGTGCGACTTAGCTTTTTTCCTCTCGTCCACTCTCCCCGATGCTATTCGCCACCGTCGCCGCTGCCTTTTTTCCTTCTTCCTCCGGAAGAGAAGCTCTCGGGGGCAGCGCGATGCTTCCGGTACCACGGCGACGACGATGACGATCGCATCGAGGGAGAGAAGGTACCAGTACTCCTCGGAGGGAGTCCTAAGGGCACCGCGGATACACAATATATAATTCCGAACTCGCGTTACTTGCGCGATATTCGAGAGGTATTAATAAAGATGTTAGATTCATGGCAGTATCCACATCGCGTTACTTCTCTGCGAAACTCGGAGACCGGAGCTGCGTGCGTTTTGACTAGTACGTTAACGGCCGGCACGCGTTTTCCGTTCCAACGCGAACGAGTCCGCATCCGCTTTTTTTCTTCCCTCTCGCTTCTCTCCCAATTTCCCAAGTCACCGACGTACCGTCACCGATCCCACGTTAATTTTCATTACAATGAAAAGATTCCGGCGGACGACTGTTGAAATATTGAAATAATAATCAAACTGAGAACCCTCGGTTTCCCCCAAGAGTTTGCGACTGAAAAAAGCTTAAGAGCCACTGCCTCATTAAATATTCACCTGTCTCGATATAGACGATCGATATCAGTGTCGTCGAAATTCGAGATTATTCGAGAATATTATGAACAAACAATCCCCATATATATTCTTTAGGCGAGGATGGAGACCCGTTCACGTCATCCGGTGTCACGTCATTAACCCTCCGACAAGAATACATTAGTTCGTGATTAATTCTTTTCATGCGTTAATGGACGTCAATGTAATTACGAAATGATACAATTACGTTCGAGAGAGCGTTAAACTCCCGATGTTACGTCGGGGGATAACCGAGTTACCCGCGTAATTACTGACGATTAATAGAATTTTCACTGAAAAATGCACGCGATCGGTCAGCGCGCGAAAACGACACGGTCGTCGGAGGGTTAATCTCTTATTCAGTATCCAAGGAACACGTAAAAGTTAACAAAATATAAAAAAACACTTTATTTCGATTCTTAATGTCAATAAAGAATCAAATTTTATAATAAAAAAAAATCATCATTTTGACTTGTATGACGTCAAAATGAAGTCAGTTTGACTTTCTCATGTCAGGGATGTTCCTTGGATAGAGAATCGTTCACCCAAGGAACTCAATTTTAATTCTTAATGTCAATAAACAGTCAAATTTTGTAACAAAAAAATCATCGCTTGACTTTCATGAAGTCAGAACAAAGTCATTTTGACTTTCTCATGCTCGGGGGATGTTCCTTGGGCAGAAGAAAACCCGGTAGTTTTTCTTCTTCTACGTGACGATAGCGTGAGTGGCCGATTGGATATTAAACGTCGCGCACGATCCGGAGAGTGAGCACGATCCCGAAAGATGTGTGGACCACACGACCGGACATACCGTTACGACGAGCGATATCGCTAGGAACAGGGTAGTTTGGCAGTCACGAGCGCCAAACTTATTCGCGGCAGTCGCCGGTCTCCTCGCTTCCGCTTCTTCGTACGATCTGAGAAACGCGTAAAACGGAGGAAAAGTAAACGGCGATATAACAATAATAATAGTAATGATAATAATAGTTATAGTAGTAATAATAATAATAATAATAATAGTACAGCGTTGTTTCAGTATATGCATGTGTGTGTATGTGTGTGTGCATACGCGCGCGCGCGCGTGGTCGTTGACTTCCAATTCTGTAGTGTGCTGATATCGGAAGCATGGAGAGGAGACTGCTCCCCTCCTCGATGCGAAAAGATCGAAGTGCGCATCGATGGGTTACTGATGTCATCCCCGATCGACCGCACCGGTACCACCGCGGTTCCTGCTCTGCCACTTACACTTGAGAATCCTCACGTAGGTTCTGCGGAAAGCTGCGTTGCCCAGCGCGTAGCACATCGGGTTCACAGTACTGTTAATGTAACAAAGATAATAAACAAAGTCCCACAGCACCTGAGGTATGTACCACGAGCAAGCGGTGAGGGACTTGAGGAGTACCAAGATGTTGTACGGGGTCCACGTGATAATGAATGCCAGCAGGATGGCTGACAGCGTTTTCGCGGCCTTTCGATCAGCCTTCTTCTCCTGCAGCTTCTTCTTCTTCTTGTTCGGCTGCTTGTTCAGTATTCCCTTACCAGTCGTCAGCGTCTTCGGTATGTTCTTCGCGTTCAACGGTATCCTGATGTCCGGCATCTGCGATGGCCTTCTCATCGTCACCGTCGATGGGCTCGACACGGACCCGCCGCCGAGACGGAAGAGCTTGCTGGCACCACTGCCGCTACCGCCAACACCGCCGTCATCCTCGCTGTCTTCTATCATAGGGTGCAACTGGATCGACACGGACTCGTCATGTATCATCCTTATGCTCGTCCCCTCGCTGAATTTCCCGCCGTTACTCGGCAATTTGATCAGAATCGTATAAATCTGGAAGTCAAGGAGACACGCGCATAGTATGGATCTTCGAGCGAATCAATTGTAATCTCAAAAATAATAGATTTGTTTATTATTATTATACTGGACTGCACTACAACTTTCTTTCTCGCTTTCGCCCAAATTTCAAATATATACTTATTTCACGTTAAATACAAAAATTTTATACTACAGTGAAAAAAATGTTCTGATTAAACCAATGGAAGGCATCCAAGAATGATAGTTTAATGAGGGCAAATCAAATTTCTGATTGTGATAACCAGAAATTCTGTCTCACCAAATGCTACTTTCGTTGGGTGCTTTTATTGGTTTAGGGTGTTTTTCAGCAAGGACAGTAGAAAACACCCTTAATCAAAACAGTTTTTCTCACTGTAGTTCAGTTATAAAAACAAATCCTATATTTAATAGCTAAATAGCTAAACAAAAAAAATACGTAATTTTAGTTGCGTTTTGCAAAAAAAGCAGTTTTGTAATTGTAAAATTTTTTTAATATGATCGATTTTGCCCTTAGTCTCGAAACACAGTAGGTGTAGTAAGCCCTAAATCTTATTAATTGACCAATCATAGTCGAATATTCTTCTCACATTCGACTGTGACTAATTAATTAATTAAGGATTTAATTAATTAATGAATTAATTAATTGCTTAAGACATTATTACACCTATTATGTTTTGAAAAACTTATAGTTCTTCACGGAATTTAAAGTCCATTTCTATAATCGTATAAGTGTAGTCGTGATTGTATTATAAGATTAAAATAAGTAATAAATTATAAGAATTGATCTATCACAGTCGAATATTCTAAAATTCGACTATAATTGGTCAATTCTAATAACTACAACTATTATTTACAATTATGCTTACGTAATTACAGAATGTAGAAGAATAAAATTCAACTATATTAAAGAATCTTATAGCGAATTCGATTGGACGCACTCAGTGCGCATTGGTGCACATTAAAACCGCCGTACATAAAATAACATAAAGATATATTTATAAATAAATATAGAAATCAATTAAATACTCAATACATTTTATTGTATTATTAGATAAAATATGTATTTCATAATTCGAAATATTTGCATTTCATTTTTATACTCAAATTAAATCAGTGTACAGCGGCTTTAATATGCATCAGTGCGCACTAGTGCTCCAATCGAATTCGCCATTACAATAGTTGTAAAATTGCTTTTTCTGCAACCATTGTTAATAATTCTAACCGCGTGTTGTAATACCGATTCCCCTCGAAAACACATTAAGACTCGATCTCACAATATATGATTACCTAAAGATTAAAGGTTATTAACCTATTTATCAATGAAATTCGTTCATGAATTTCTTGGTTATCTTTAATCTTTAGGTAACCATATATATTGCGAAATCAGGCCTAAAATATGTTTTCTTTTCTCAAGTTGATTCCCAAGTAAAAACAAATAGAAGTGTCACATACGGTATCGCTGGAAATATTTCTAAGGTCGACCGATCGTGCCGGCCTTTTGTATAACTCGTGCTGCATCGCGGTCTTGTCCAGGGCGATCCCCGTGGCCTGTATCGCGCTGAGGGAGGGACATCGCGATACCGTGCTGGGAAGCGGCGTCTCGGCCGACAGCGGCGTGAGCGTGTCTTCGTAACCGGCCCCGGTGTGGCTGCTCTCCGGTCCAGCGATCTCTTCGTCGTCGTCCTCGTCGTCTCGACCGCTGTGCCACCACGCGATGCACCACATCTTCAGCCAGGTCCAGGAAAACGGCCTGTGCTGCACGCCCAAAAAGCGAATACGAATAAGCTTGTAATCGCGAAAGTGATTAACCTAGCCGAGATTGCATATACAAACGTAACTTTGCGTCATAACGTGATACCGAATCCTTTCTGATTTTTTTAAAATTAATAGTAGAAGAAGGGGTCGCTAATATCGATATACCAATTTGTTTTTAAACAATATTTCTTAAACAAAAATTAAAATAAAACTTCAGAAACATAAATACAAACTAGAAAGTGTCGTCAGATAATGTAGCAGTTTTTATAATACTGTTTGCAATTTTGTAATAATTAACTTTTTCGCAAAATAAGCAAAAATAAACGTCTAATAAATAAACGAAATGGGCCTCAAAACTGACACAGTAGGCAGTAATGCCACATACCTATTCCATTTTTTCTTTTTATAGAAAATAATTTATATGCATACTTTATGCATACTTATTAAAGTATGCATATAAATCAACAAAATGTTTTCATCGAAGTAAAAAGATCCTAAAAAATCTTATGCACATTCACTTGTAGTACTTAAAGTACTTTGTCCTGATGACTCCTATAAAAGAAAAAAATTACTGTCTACCGTGTCAGACGCAAATATGCAACGTGACAGTTTTTTTTTTTTTTTTTTTAAAGGTTTTCCCATAAATACAGACTTGCCTTCAGCTCCGATAGGGTTATTTGACTCTATAACGCAACGCTATATAAAGATTAAGTTAGCTTATGATCTGTCTTACAAACAAGTGTGTCAGTTTACGGTGTTCCTCGATTTTATATTTAAAACCATTCCAAACGGCACAGAATATTTACGATAAATATTCATAAATATTTATTATTTATATTTTTTGAAATATTATATAAAAATTTTATACTTTTTTTATATAAGCACTATTCAAAGACATTATTTAAATACAGACTAAATATAAACTTTATATACTTTATATAATATTGATGATGAATATAAATAAATATTTCTGGTAAATATTTTTTATACTGGGATTACAATGTCTTATTAAGTATTTTCATAACATTTACTACAATATGTATGATAAATATTTCATAATATGTATAATAAATATTTATGATCTTACAATCTAAAATCACAGAAATATTTACAAAATATTCAAAATAAATCTTACAAATAATGTGCTGTCTTAGATATTATGGCAAAAATAAGAAAGAAAAAAATATAAATAAATTTTAGAAAACTACAAACATATAAAAAGATGTAATATTATTAAAAATATATATAGCCATCCTTATTTAAATTAAACGCAATTTGTAAAAGAAAATCAGAACATAAGAATTTTATTTTCGCATCTGTAGAATTCCTTTTTAGCTGATCTTATATATAGAAGCAAGCCATAAATATATGTATAAATTATGAGTTTTTATTTCTTTAATCGTCTCTAAACACAGATCATATTTTTATCGTATTAACGTAATGTTTAGCTTCTGAAAAATAAGGGAGATCTTTAGGAGAGAGATGTATGTCAGAGCGGCGACTTTCCGTTTAAAATGCAAAGAGATACGCGAGATTTCAAAGTAATAACGATTACTGATCCTGAATTGCGCGAATTGTAAGTATCAAGTTCCAACTGTTAACGACATTTGTAAAGACGAGCAAATAGGTAAACGTGCAAAGTGACTCCACTTCGTGTAATCGCATTCGCGCTTACGGTTACATACAACTATACTTACGCTCTTGTATTGTGGATAGTGCTTATCAATGTAGGAAACCGCGATGTGCGTGGCGTGCGAGACGTCGTCAGCGGTGCTCGACTCGCTTCGCTGTCTTCTGCTCTCCTCCATATCTAAAACCTCGTCGCTACAGGGAAAAACGTGAGAGTAAGTACGTCGAACTGCACTTGAGTCTTTCGACCGCGCGATATTCGCAGAATTACTTGCATTGTCAAAAGGAGTTACACAGACACGAGAGAAAAAATATTTTTATCAGATTAAACAAATAGAAAATATTTAATGAGATCCATAAGTCTCGAAACACATTTTTATAAAGATCGTGAACAAACATTAAAAAATAACAAGAGTTATAAAAATAATCATAAAAAAACATTCAATAATATCTGAGGGGAGGAGGAAACAAATATGCAACTAAAATAATATCTTCACGTAAGAAAGAAATTAATTATAATTAATCTAACAATGTCTAAATAGTGTCAAACGTTCATTCGACCGGTGCATCTGCCCTAAAATCAATTGGGAAGGGCTGATCTTCCAATTAGGGCAATGTGTTACCATCTCTCTTGTGCAGGGGTTGCATTTTTTTGGTGAAGTGCTGACGACAAGTTCGGAGAGAGAAACAATTGAAAGCGTTAGTTACCACCTCGAGTTGCTGCGCTTGCTCGCGTCTTGCTTGCCGGCCTGCAAATTCGGCAGGTCCTTCTGACGTTTCTTCGTCTCCTTCCAGATCCGCCAGTAAAGGATCGTCATTATCATGACAGGAACATAAAACGCGGCGATGGCCGTGCCGAAGGTGATGTAATGATTCGTCTCGATGAATTGGATGTAACACGAGGATGTCGGCACAGTTCTTTGACCCTCGATGTACGGCCACGCGTAGATCCAGGGTGGCCAAAGAAGCAGCGATATACCCCAAGCGGATCCTGGAACGATCATTATGTTGTTGTCTGGAGTATTTTTCAACGAACATATAGTTATATTTATTGCAAATTTTATTTTATTTTTTAACAAACATATGACTGTAAAAGACTCGAGTATCCAGACTCTTATTCGAAGGTTTCGAATGGTTATTTATTGCGAATATTAATTTAGACTTACCTGCTAAACACAAAGTGACAGTAACATTACATCAATTTATAATTTCTCACTCAACAATATAAATATAACACACACATATTGCGTGTGTGTACACGACAATTGCATTGTTAAGTAGGAAATTATACACGGAAAAAACGGTTTTGCTGAAGCATCAGCAAAATTCAGTTAGATACAGATCTGAAAATAATTTTGTTGAACTAAAACAATTATGTAGAACACTTTAAACTAAACTGCAAAAAGTTTTAATTATTCTAGTCAACAATTTAAGCACCCTACATAATTATTTTGATAGTCCAAACAAAATTATCTTCAGATTTGTATAAATTTTTAGGTACTTTGACAAAACTGCGCTTTCCGTATAACATTGATATAATGTTACTTTGTGGTTAGCGAGTGTATTGAAGCATGCTTTTGAGGCTTCCACAGGTATTTTCTTTAAGAAAGTTATACGGGGTTTATAAGTTATCTTTGTGACTTGATACATCGTTAAATGCCAACGTTTCGTGAATATTGCAGATCACTTATCAGGGCGAGAAGCAACCTTATACTGATCAGTATCAGATTGCTTCTCGCCCTGTTCAAGTGAACTATAACGTTCGCGATACTACAATGTTCACGAAACGTTGGCATTTAACGATGTATCAAGTCACGGAAATAACCCATAAACCGCGCAACAATTTCTATAGTATATTGGAATACGTTAATTTATTATAAGCACGATATAAATCATTTTATCAATGTCTACTGGAACTTTTTAAAAAGGAATGGCTTAAAAATTTGTTGATTTTTCAGATAAAAATGAAGTAGTTTTAAATCGCAAATTAACCTTTAGTACACAATTGGGTCATTCGTGTGCTGCGCATTTCTTCTTTTTGAAATACCAGGAGCACCAAGTAGTTACAACACACATTTATGTATAATTTTTTAAATGCAACCTTACAAATACATTTTAATGATGTTAAAGTGTATGTAAAAATCTTAATAAATTTGGTATACTTGTAAAAGTGACAAAAAATAACTCGGAATACGAACGACCCATCGTGTGTATCAAGAATTAAAAGCAAAATCTTCGAAGAGAGACAATTTCGACAAAAATTTCTTGAATCTCGATAAAGTTCTCCTTCAAGAATTTCATGATTTCTCCAGACGGAAAAATATTTCAGGTTTCCCAACAATTTTTTTTTATGTCTCGCCGCATTACATAGATTTAATATATACTCACCGATCATGACGGCGGCTCTGAAAGTGGTTCTCTTGGCCCGATAGGTAAGCGGACGCGTAACGGAGAAATATCTGTCGAAGCTGATAATGAGCAGATTAAGGACCGACGCGTTACTCGCGAGATAGTCGAGGGCGAGCCACGTGTCGCACACGTGGGACCCGAGCGGCCAGTAACCGAGCACCGTGTATACCGTAAAGAGGGGCATGGAGATTAGGCCGATCGCGAAGTCGGCCACCGCCAGGCTGAAGAGGAAATAGTTGGAGATCGTCTGCAGATTCTTGTCGATCTTGAACGATATCATGACCATAATGTTGCCGACGACCGTGGTGAGACTGAGGATGACGGCGATCACCACTATCGTCACGCGCTCCCATACCGTGTATTGATGGGGCTCACCGCCGCAATCGAGACCGTTGCTGATGCTGTAGCTGTCATTGCCGGGTATCTCCACCATCGGAGTAACGTTCATGTCTGACGGACTATTTCTCGTCTTCTCTCTCTCCTAATCCCTCTCTCTCTCTCTCTTTCTCTCTATTTCTCTCTCTCTCTCTCTCTCTCCCTTTCTCTCTCTCTCTTTCTCTTTACTTCGTTAATTCGGATAATCGTCCCAGTGCCTTATCTATATCCTCGTTCCGGGGCGCTCCGCGTAAGGTACGCGTTACCGGTTCGCGCGGGCAATCGCGCGTACTTTGATTCTCTCGCGAACGGATCCCTGGAGCTCACGACTCGAATCCCGATCCTCGGGGCACCACCGCCGGTCCCGCGTAGCCCGCCTCACCCTCGCCCGTCCTCTCGCGTACTCTTTTAACATGCGCGCGGCAGGTACGCTGACGAAGAGCGTGTTCGCCCACGCGGCCGTGCGCGCGCACGCACGCCCGCCCGCACGCACGCACGCACGTACGCACGCACGCCCGTACGCGCGAACGCGCGAACGCCACGCTTCCGGTACCCCTCGTCGCCGGACACCGGGATTCGGCGAACGGCACCACCTTCGCCGACGCTACCGTCGCGATCTCTTCCCTTTTCCACCTCCTCCCCCTCGTTCTCCTCTTCGTCGTCGTCCTCCTCGTCTTCGTCTTCCTCCTCCTCTTCCTCCTCCCCCTCCCCCTCCTCCTCCGCCTCCTCTTCCACCCCTTCCTCCTCCTCCTCCTCTTCCACCCCTTCCTCCTCCTCCTCCTCCTCCTCCTCCTCGTCCACCGCCTCCGTCGTCGTGCTCTCGCTAGGTGGAAGGTAGTGTCAACTACATCCCACGTTTGCTCCTCTTGGTGGAGACATTGAGTCTGCGAGAAAAGACAAAGCAAATATACCGAAAAATTATATCAGGAATTATTAGCATAGTAATATTAATGGGATCATATCAATGATCGGAATCAATATTTGCCTTCTCATAGATATTCGATATATTATAGTTCTCCTGCGATATATTTATATTTCATTCGAATTGCTGCTAAGCAAACGTCAAATATCAATAACTGTGAGAGACATGTAGAAACGTTTCCTCGTGAATACTTCTCTGCGATGACAAAAGGGAATTTAAAGTATAAACTAATACGTGACTTTTATTAAAATCTGTATAACCGAGATTAACTTCCCTGCTGCCGAGATATAACTATTCATTTGACCCAAGTACTCGCGTCCGGTTTCGCGCGACAGACGACTCGCCTTAATCCTCGCGCATTAGAGACACACTCTAGTGGCGTATTAAAAAAAAAAGGAAAAAAAGAGACGAAGGAAGAAGAGAGAGAAAGTTCTTTTGTCGTACTTCGGCACGACACGAGACTACTGTCAAGCGTAAAGCGCAACCAATGCCGCGGGGCTTCCACTCCGTTTCCTTGAATTCGCGCGAAAGACTTTGCACCTTTTCTCTCCTCTCTCTTGACCGCCACTTCATCTTTAAGGGATCCTGAAATCGTCTCTTTTACCAATTCAGGAGGACTTACACATATACGATTTACGTGTCACTAACACATCACACTAAGGTAAACGTCCCAGTGACCGGATATGTATCTATTTAACAGTGTATGTCTGGATAATTACACAAAATTTATTATTATTAATCTCAAACGCTTTTTTATTACAATATTATTATAATTTAATTGTATTTAAAGATTACGATTCAATTATAATATTATATTTAAAGAAACGTTTGAGATAGTATAATAGTTTAAATTAATTTTTGTAATTATGTAAATGTCCGGATATACACTGTTAAATTTACAGTGTCAAATTTAACTAATTTTAACTGGTCACTGCTCCTACTCTCAATATATTGTTATTTTATACTAAAGTAATGAATAAATTTGACACTATACAGTGTCAAATTGATCAAATTTATTTTTTTTTAGAGCAAGAGAAGTGGCGATTTAAATTAGTTGAATTTGACACTATAGATTTAACACTAGAGATATAATTTAGTGTAAGTACATTTCCGGTCACTGGGACGTTTAACATATTACATCGATACATTGCACGCACAAATACGTACAAATTTTCCAACTAATTAATCTTTCATATTAGGTGCCTAAGTCCAGAAATCCTCAAGAGATTGGACACTGTTTGGACAACTTCTGATAATCGGTCCGCCATATTTTCAGGACTTGCTTAAGATGTCATGAGATGCATGGGTATCTCATTCTATCTTAAACAGGTGTTGAAAAATATGATAGACCAAACGTATGATATCCAATCTCTTACTTGAGGATCTCTACCTAAGTCTAATTCTAAGAACTCAATAATTGTTTGATCAATCCTAATCCAAATCAAGATTATTTTACACATATAAAGTACAAAAACTTTTACATAAAACAAATATTGTTACGAGTCGACGTCAGAAATCGATAAAAAATTGTAATTTTTCCATCTCCTTTTCAACATAAATCGACCGGTTTGGATTACATTACCGTTTACGCTCAACTATGTATGTGTGTGTGGAAAGAATTTTTAAATCTTTATGTTAGGGCAGTTAGAAAAATACTTATTTGAAAAATAGATTGTAAAAAATAAAATGTTAATTTTAACTTAAAGACATTTAATGGACTTTCTGAGACGTGCAAATTAATATTTTTGTGTTAATTTTAACATTTTTGCGTCTCAGAAAGTCCACTAAACGTCTGTAAGTTAAAATTAACATTTTATTTTTTTACAGTGTAATGAGTAAAACAGACGACTTCAAGATCTCTTTAACGAGCTACTTATTCATCATTCGCGGAACCCAAACCGGACGCGTCCCAAATACATCTCAAACTTATCAAGCGTTCGCACTTCCGTTTTCGGAGCACAAACTATAATGCGTTTACTCTGCGATTTCCGCGTGTGTCAGCTTCTGTACGGCACTTATCGAACTTGAAAGCGAGAGAATGGATTATCGATGATCAGACAGATTCTTTTCTTTTCGCTAACGCGCGGTAATCTCCTGAATCTTAATTCCGACATGGTAGAAAATATGAAAAAGACATGGTAGAAAATATGGAAAAATCTCTCGCGCGTCTGTTACACGAATGAAAATTCCATTTACGAAACTTTCCGATCCGACGTTGCATTTTCTCCATCAACGAGATTTACTTGTTCCGTTAAAAAATTCAACAAGATGAAATTAACTTATGCCACGACTTCGAACATGTACTGCGAGAGTTTACGAGAAGGTTCGCTGTAATAAGCGCGTTTTAATACGGAAGTAACGCCGTCGGAGCAGCTTGCGCAGAAAATGTCGAGTCGGACCGAAGTTTCGAACCTGTTATCGTCTAGAATCACAATTCGATCGTCGTTCCTCGTGCGCTCGTCTCGTCGTCGAAAACACGGGGATGCCTACTCGGCGGGGATGAGGCGGCGGTCCAATTACGGACGTATTTCACTTGCCGACTTGTCTGCTTAAACGCGCGCCGTTTCGTCGTGGCGGTCTTAATATGCTCGCAGGGAATTTTGCGAGTGTCACGAATTAGATCCGTCTGTGCAACGGCGCATCCGAAAGAGCCATTGCAAAAGCAGTTAATTTGCACAATTAACTGACATTTGTAACATAGGCAGACGAAATAGAGACGGCAAATATATATATATATATATAAAATGCGTTTATGTCTTAATAAATAATTTTCTCTCATAGCGTTTCAACGATCAAAGGTTCTTATATTGAATCGTACAAAAAAAAAGGATTCAGACTTAAAAGAATGTATTCTCGATTCAATTAATTCTGCTTCACTTTCAAGAATATTGGAACATCACTAGTTTTACGTATCGGAAGGGCAAAAGCCTGTTAAGGCGAATTAACCTCCGGAGATGAGAATCAGTAAGCAAAGTTCGGCCTTAATTCAATTTTAGGTGGATTTTGCTGTAATAAATCGGTTTTGTGGAGGTAAAGTTTAACTACCAATTAAAAGCGGTTCAAAAATTCTTCGGAATCCGCCTCCTGATTCTCCGCCGAGGACCCACGGTCCTCCCGACTGAAGGATTTCTTCGAAAGAATTTCGCCAGTCTCCTCTTTACCGCGTGGGAACACTGAGGTAGAGGACATACTCGAAGGAAATAACGTACTCGATAACTGCCATAATTGCGACAGATTCCTCATCGAATGCGGCCAGTTCGATATCCCTGGCGAGGCGGTCGAACTGCTGCTGCGGCAAGGGCGTGGAAGGATGCATGTTGCGCCAGGTGTGCAACGCGATTACCTCCCTGTTAAGTGCGCATGGCATGCTCGACGCCTGTAATTATAGAAATGCCAGCGATATTTAAACCTTTTTGCGACAATATCGTGCAGAAATACTTTAGGTCTATCGCGAATACTGAATAGCGGCTTAACGTTAAGGTGGATCAACTTCTTGAGACAAGACAGAGGGAAATTTTTTTAAATTCAATATTAACTATTGTAATTAAATTTTAATAGATAAACTTTTTTTATAATTGTTAATGAAATACATGAACGATATTATGTTATTATACTTGTAAACGATTAATAATATTTAATTTATGTAACATCATACGAGATCACAACAAAAGTTACATCAAGCTACGAGATCACATATTATTTTTTTAAATTGTACTTTTCTATCAAATGTATATTTTGTGCTAATATTTGGACTTTTTGAATAAAAAAAATCATAAGATTCTTCACATAATGTTAAAAATTATATTTCACATCCTTATTATTTTCTCATTTAGAAGAGGGACAATTCATAATCATGTCCAATTGGGAACAAAATTTCGTACACGTTACAGGACTGTCGTCCTCGTAATTTGAGATGATTGGTCACTTTGGCCGGTATTCATAGTCGATTCTTATTTCAAGATCGTCTTAAGTAATATCTTAATACGCTAATGTGGCTCTCTTATTAGTTCGTAACAAGGCTGAACTTGAGATGATCTTGAATATAAGAACTGACTATGAATAGTCAACCGGCCTCTAATCCTACCTCTTTGAATCGAATAATTCGAGCATTTGAAATTCCAAATAACCGTCTGGAAAATATTTAAAAGGACTCTTACGTTACCACTTATATTCCGTAACTGTCTAGTACGATATTACAATCGTGCGACATATAAATAAGTCCTCGTCTGTCCCGAAGTTTAAATAATACACGCCTTCTCCTTTTAATCTTCAGATTCATCCAGTGTTCGCGCGAAACCCAAAATTAGTTTCTCTTTACACGCGAACGGAGAACTGTCGAGAAATCAACGATATTACTTGGCTGAATCAATGGTGTTTTATGCCGGTCGACATTTACCGCGAGAACAAAAGCGCACGTACTTCGCCGTTTGTTATTCGTTGGTATTAACATTTCCGCGGACAGTGTTTCTCGCGCGACGAGTAGGCGCGAACTTCAGTATCGAGCTTCTCGTAACGTTTGCGAAGGTCGAACGGCGTTCGCGTCCGCCTCGAGATAATCGGAAGCGAGTGACGGGACGTCGTTCGAAAATCGATGCGGGCTTGTAATTTTTACCTTACGCCGTCTAACGACGGCATTGAATTGTTCATCCCTCTAGGTAGCCTCATTTCATTATACGCGCGGAACGTATAAAATAGCTTGGTGAATCAAATTTCTTAATAATGATATCTTTAACATTTAATGTTACATTTCTTTCCATTTTATCGGCAAATCTCTTTTATATCGTTCGTACGACATAATCAAATAAGGCTCGGTTACACAAATGTAAGATTAATTTTAATCCGAGATTAATTTAATCTCGGTTTAATTTACTATCTATCTTCTTTTAATTCTTCTTTTGAAATTCTTTGGAGTAAAATCTCATTTTAAAGAGTGAAAATACTGCCACTCTTGAACAACAGTGGAAGTATTTTCACTCTTTCAAAGTGAGATTTCACTTTTTTGGAGTGAGATCCTCTCCAAAAAATTTAGAGAATTGGAAACAGAAGAAGACAAAAAGAAAAAGACAAATAAGTTAACTCGAGATAAAAGTTAATCTTACATTTGTGGAACCAGAGACCTAAGTATGTACAGTGAATTATACAATATTTTGAGAAGCCTAAGTGTATTCTTAAATGTACTGTTAATGTTGTATACTTGCACGTGCAATACACAAAAATTATACGCTGCAGGATGTTTAGTTTGACTACTAAAGCGCAACAGAGCGTTAAAGGTGGTCCCGGGACGAAGACGTTTAAATCGCAGTGGATGGTTGCCAAGAGGTCGGCGGTAGCATTACGGCGTTATCGCTACTTTACGCACTATGAACTCCGCGGTTTCTTTTTTCTTTACGAGAAATCTAGCCGCGTCATCTTAACCCGATTTCTGCACTGCAAAAAGAAGGACCGTGTAACCTGGTTACCGAATCATACAGAATAACGCACGAGGATTTCATGATTTTCAGAAATACCGAAATCGCTTTCTGGGCACGTATTATGAGATTATGCGGAATGGATTTTGATCGGAATTGTTCAATTATTCTCTGAGGTAAACATTTTTGGTATTTGTGATTATAATTATGTCACCATAATTATAGTTATTACTGCTATGTTAATAATGACCATATAGATACAGTTCTATCAACAAATATTATATATATATGCATAATTAACAACCGAAAATGACTATAGCTATGGTTATTGTTACTACAAAAATAGTTTCAATTACTGTAATTTGACTATAATTTCTAGAGACAATCATAATAAAATATAATTGTCTCAAAAATTACTATAAAATAAATTGTAACAATGGCAACCGTTTTTACGATACTTTTAATACGAAATTGGACCGATAAGAATAAATCTAATTAAGACAAATTCTATTTTCGAATATTGCCTAAATATTTCGGTGTGAATTTAAATACATATTCAATTTTGCAAACTTTGCGCTAAAATTTTATCAGTCTTGAAACGCGATCATGAAAAGAACTAGAAGAGTAATATCACATATTAAATTGACAAGGAATTTAATAATTAATAAGCATCTTATGACAATATTAATAATTTGATGTTAATAAAAATCTTAAAAACTGTGAATGATTTATTATAAAACATTTTTACAATAGCAATAATTCTATATATTTTTGGTTGCTAATTATACATATTTATATTATGATAACACGTAATTATAGTCACAAATACATATATAAAAAACTGTTCTCTCGGTATAAAATATCTATTGTACTCTCTAAAGAAAACAAAACAATTCTAGTCGGAATCCGAACAGTTCATAATACGTGCCCAGAAGTAAACGCAATGTTATCACAATCCGAGAGAAGATATCCGGCATTGAACACCGGGGATTAACGAATAATCTAATCAACCAGCACGCGTGATTTCTTCCGCTGGCAGAAGGCGTATCCGATTTTGCCATGTTCGCGGATATAAAAGCGGCTATGCGCTCAAGCGGTAAACCTCGATTCCCGCCGTCGTGCTCGCATTGGTTCGTATAGGACGGGTAGCAAGTCACAATAGTGTAACTACGGCCATACACCACCTCGCAGTGTATCCGATCCACTGGAGAATAGACGCTATAACGACGACGAGAAACGCTCGGTGGCTGCACTGACCCTACATTGGCACCATCACGCGACCTGCTCCATAAATAAATATAGAAACGCATAGAAACAGGCGGTCTCGTTAACGGCGTTGCCTCCGTATAACGAACACTGGCCTTAATTAATTTGTTAATACGCCCAAGCGATTTGGATGTCACGTATCGAGTCAGTTTTCCGCACTCGATTTCGGACAACGTTAACGAAGCCACCCCAGTCGCCTCGGGACTGAGGATTCTAAACTAAGGATTAGAGTTTAGGGCAACGTGGAGGATCAAGCGAAATCGCAGGTGGAAATGATTTAGTACGATTCACCGAGTTAAATCTCTTGGGGGACTGTCTCTCGGAGTATCATAAGAACAACCGACGTCATTTCACGTTTTAGAGGTGGAGAAAAGCGTAGGACACTTTCGGAAAGAGAGGATATATACTCGTGTCGAAGAAACTTAAATTCTGAAGAAATTTAGTTCGCAATAGTTTTGGCGTCTACGAGATTACGGCGTGTACCGTAAAGATAATTAAAAACGCCACGGTAGTCGACAGACACATTTTCGCGAATCGAAGCTCTCTCGGGCACTTATCGCATCCGTGGCATTATTTTAAACGGCATTACACACACATATATATAATGCCGTTTAAAATAACGCCAGTGACAGCTACGGGTTGCAGCGTGCAGATAACTGCGTGTCGCGCGTGTGCGCATTCATCGCGAACAATGCGAGCGATCTTTTAAAAGAGATCTACTTCGCGCACCTATACAGACCGGCGGATGACGAGTATTAAAATCGCTTGCGTCACTGTCCGCGATGTTCTCTGTTAAGTGGACAGGCGGTAGGCCGCGCGGGCGCGAACGCGATTATTCGCTGCCAGGATGCGTGTCTAATAATACGTAATGCACAATGTTCGCCATATCGCGCGATCGGATCGAAGTCCTTCGGCTTCCCACGCCCGCGAAATATCACGGATTCTCTCGTGCTGAAATAAATAAATGTACATTTGTTCGCGCGAAACCGACCGAGCTTGATTCTGAACGTGGAAGGGACGGTTTTGTTGAATTGTATTTAAAATTTTTGCTCGCGATATACAGATTTAAAAATAAATTTTGTCTGGATTATAAAAATAGTTATATAATGAATTTTATGTAATGCTTTCAATATTTTTCGCAACAAAAATTAATCGCAGTTTTTAAGATTTTTATTAACATTTTTTATTATATTTTTCACATTCCTCGCAATAAAAATTAATCGCTATTTTTCAAATTTTTATTAACATCCTGAACACAGAAAGAACAGTTTTGCTGAAATTTTGCTAGATATAAATCTGAAATTAAATTCTGTTGGGTTATTAAAATAATTATATAATCAATTTTTTATGTAATATTTTTTGCAGTAAAAAATTGTTCGCAGTTTTTTTTTTAAATTGTTATTAACACCAAATTGTTAATAACTCTTATTAATATTCTTACAAGATGCTTATTAGCATCAATATTATTATTATTAAATTGCTTGTCAATTTAATATGTAATATTACTACTCTAGTTCTGTTCATAATTATGTTTCAAGACTGAGAAAGATTTCGGCGCGCGGTTTGCAGAATTAGATACTTATATTACATTCGCACTGAAACATTTAAGCACTAAGATCCACTTTGACTGAAAGTAGAATTTCTCTTACTTAATTAGATTGAAAATAATTATGTAGGACGTTCAAACTAATTGCCAGAATGT